AATAAAGAGATATGTAGAAATGTAGAACAATGCAACTCTTCTCTCTAAATGTTTTTGTTTTGGAAAAATATTGCTATTTTTTTGTAAAAGTATGTTAACATGCAATGGGTTTATTATTTTTTTAATTAATTCATTAATAAACAAACATTTTACAGATTTCTTGGTTTTAATTTCTAACACAAGAAATATAAATATATTGAACCCACATAAGTAAAACCTTTTTAGATTCCTTAATAATCTTTGAGAATGTAGAGGGGTTCCAAGACCAAAAGATTTCAGAACTTCTGCCTTGAATCACACAGTCATTGGGATCTTTCCTTTTCTCTGTATTTATAATAACTTTTAATCTATATTTTTTATTTACAAAAGTGATAGGAAGATGTAGAGTATACAAATAAGAAAAGAGAGGATTAAATATCCTATAATCAAACAACTCAGTGATTTTATTAATATGTTATTATTTTATTAATATGTTGGCTACTATACATACTGCTGCTATTTAGTTTGTGAATATATCACGCATATAGAATTAAAATGGAATGATATGACACACAATATTTTGAAACTTATTTTTCTTTTACTTAAAATATATCACAAAATAACTGTTCTACAATGTCCTTTTAATGACTGCATTATTATTTATTTAAGCTCCTATTTCTGGCCATTTATGTTGCTTACATTTTTTCATGTTATACAGTGTCACAGGGAATGTCCTTTTTATATATGCTTGATCATTTATCTGAATAAATTCCTAGAAGAATTGTTGCATCAAGGGTATGCATATTTTAAGGCTCCTTATATCTGTTGCCAAATTGTTCAAAAAGCTTGTACGAGCACATATGTTAGAAGTTTATATTTGACACCCTTGNTTAAGGCTCCTTATATCTGTTGCCAAATTGTTCAAAAAGCTTGTACGAGCACATATGTTAGAAGTTTATATTTGACACCCTTGGCATTATTTCATATCTTTGCCAATCTGATAGCTTTGTATCTCATTTTTATAATTTACATTTCTTTGATTACTAGCATGTTTGACTATTTTCTCGTATGTATCTTGGCTTTTTGTATCTCACTGTCTGTAAAATACCTATTAGAATAATGCATTTTTATTGAATTGTTGCAACCTCTAACAGTAGCCCACTTCTCTCAAGAATTAGTTTATATAGTGGGAATACTGGCTTGTAAGACACCAGTGATTACATAGCTAATATGGTTTTTATATCTTTATAAATATAAATAAAATTCTATTGGGTAAATTTAGTTGTTGAAAATTCTCCTAATTATGTTTGTGTCTATGAAAATTTGGACTTTAAAGAAACAGCTAACAATCATCAATATTACCTAACTATTAGGACTACTTTAAATGAAACTGTGTACATTACAAAATGCTATTCAAAAGTAAGTAAAGTTATTTTTTATTTTTTAAAATTGCTTTTTAATATTTGAAAATATTCAAAAGTAAGTCAAAATAAATATTATTACTTAAATGTTTTTGGTCACAACTAATTTTCCGATAATTTGAATATTGATAATATTCAAGTCAGGCAAAGCTCTNTAGAAATGACAGTTCTCCAGGATACGATAGGACAGGACAGGACAGAGCCACTTGGAGTCCTGGCAAACAGTAGTACCAAAGACTGCTGGATGGGTGTGGGCTGAAGCAACAGAGCATCAGGCAAGGGGTCAGTTTAATGTCGAGCTGGCTACAGCCTCATATTTCCAGAATGCTCACCCTCTTCTTCTCCCTCTCCTCAGCTCTTCCCCATCCACTATCTGGGGCCAAAGTAAGGGAGATAGAACCCTTGGGGAAGGAGCTTGAAAGAAATAAGTGGAGCAATTGCCCCCAGACCAGCAAGTCGGGGCTCAGTCCAGTGGAAGCCTCCAGCAGGAAGGGAAGCCCACGCTGCATGTACAGCTCAGTCCACACGACAGGAACAAAAGATTTCTGTGAAGCCTGGCTCAGGCCTCACACCAAGCCAACAACAGCGAGCCCCCGAGATCCTCCCTGTCCTTGCTAAGAAGGAATAAGGAAGTAGGTTAGACCAAGGCTGTAGCTGAGAGGAGCTGGGGCAGGGACAGGCCAACT